TGTCTCTAATTAGAGTACACTCTGGTCAGTCCCCCTCCCCACCTCCCCTTGGCAAAGCAGTCCAGATTCTTCCAGCCTGACTTCAGGGGATATTCCTCATAGGGAAGGCAGGGCCCACAATTAGGCATACGCCTTGAACCCAAAGGGCCCACACCATGACCTGACCTCTCCATACACTTGCCCTGTTCCAGCTACCTGGCTACCCTGACCTCTGCACCTGCACAGTAGGAACCCTGTCAGCCACCTTTGGGCATCTGGGGCCCTCCAGGCCTGTGGAGCAAGGGGCAATCCTCAACACCTGCATTACTTCACATGAGGAGGAAACTCATCCCCGCCCCTCCCAAAATCGCTGTGACATAGAAGCTGAAAGGAACTACAGTCAGCTACAGTCAGTCCCCAGGGGGACTGGCTATGAGACTGGGTCCCGGGTTTCTCTAAACAAAAGGTTAAGGCACAGAATTAGGTAGACTCCAGGTACCTGTAATAGCCCCTCTGTGAGCCAGCCTTGCCTGACATTCCTGGTCCAGGTCCCCAGCTCCACGACCTATGCCACCTGTGCGTGCGCAGTCCTCACTCTGTCAGCAGGTGTTTGTCTGCAGGACTCTGGAGCTCAGACTGGATGGCAAACACCTCAGAAGCTCCAAGGTGGAGGAAGGCCACAGCCTAAAAATCTTTATGAGGTAGCAGCTTTAAAGTGTTGACAGTAAGTCTCCATTTGGACTGGCTGCTTGGTGGGGTCCCAGGCTTCTCCACGATTCAAGTCTCCCAAGTTGTCTCTTATTGGGGTATCCTGGCTCTCTCTCCAGCCTTGATCTGGCAACACCATCAAGACTCCTCCAGTTCTGCCTTTTTGTGGAATATGGACATTTGTGTAGGTTAGGTCTTGGAATCAGGCAGATGACTTTGTATCCCCAAGAGCCTACTTCTGTGAACCAGCCTCAGGATGGGGGGAGCCCAGCCCCCTAAAATCACTCTGAAGCAGTCACTGGGCACAGACCTGGAGAGGGTGGCCCACAGAAAGACTCTTGGGGATTAGGCCTATGCCTAGTAGCTAGCCCTTCCTGCCCATGTTCCACAGATGCCCACATTCCCCCTTAAGCAGAATGGGAGTATATTAGACTGCCTTGTCAGATTGGGCTGGGCTGTTGTCTGGTGAATCCTCCAATAAGAAACCCAGGGGGCACGTCTGGTTACGGTTAGAGCAAGGTCTTGAAGATCAAAGCTTATGCCTAATGACAACCCTACCCAGTGAGGAATTTCCACTGTTAGAGCTCAAGGTCACTCACTGACTTGCTAGGATGGGGCCATTAAGAAGAGACACCTGGGGGGCACCTGGGTGGCTCAGTGGGTTAAAGCCTCTGCCTTTGGCTCAGGTCATGATTCCAGGGTCCTGAGATCGAGCCCCGAATCGGGCTCTCTGCTCAGCAGGGAGCTTGCTTCCTCCCTTCTCTCTCTCTGTCTGCCTCTCTGCCTACTTGTGATCTTCAAATAAATAAATAAAATCTTTAAAAAAAAAAAAAAAAAAGAAGAGACACCTGGAAGCCCTGACAACAGCCAGAGAAGCCCAGCCCGGAGCAGGCAGCAAGTCAAATGAGGACTAAATGTTGCCTATTTGCAGCTGCTACTTCAGAGTGATTTTTCCCCCCCGCCCCCTCAGGACGCAGGCTCTCTTTATTTGGGTAGCTAGGCAGTTGGTTTGGGCTTGGACCTAGCTTCCCCAGTGTGCAGAGAACTAGCTGTCCAAGGCTGGCTGAGGGGTATGTACCACACATACGGGCACAGTGCGTTTAAGGGCTGCAGAGATCTTGAGCCCCTGGGTAAGGGTCTGGAAGAGCAAGATCACAGGATCAAGCTCTTGTCGAACAAAGTGTGGGCATAACTGTGAGCCCGCCTACACAAACACTCATGTTCCTCATGAAGGCAGAGCAAGATACCGCACTACCGTGCCAGGGCGGAATGGGCAGCTGGCTCACATAGCCTCCAATAAGAGACACCTGGAAGCTCTGGTTGCAAAAGCAGCGCAGGGTGGGATCAAGACGGAAGTCTAAATGGGTACTGACTGTTGCCAATTTGCAACTGCCTCGGAGTGATTTCTGGGGGTGGGATCCCTCCAGCTGGAGGCATGCAGGTGGTTGGGGGAGGGCAGTTTCCCAGGTCAGGCTGGGCTACCCACACCTGCTCTGGGGGAGTGTACTGTGTATGCATGTGCCAAGCAGTTCAGGGTCGCCAGGTACCTGCAATGTAGCAAGGTCAAGAGGCCGACACAAGTGCAGACGTGTAAAGAACAAGGAATGGGCTTAATTTTAAGTCTTAGGCTATACAAATACACGCACTGCCCCTGAAGACAGAGCTGGAGCATACCGCATTCCTTCCTGACGGGAATGAGCGTCTGGCAGGTGACCGTCCCATAGAGACGCTGGTGAGTCCCACTTGCTAAAGAGCCAGAGCCTGATCAAGCAGCAAGTGAGAATGGGGGTGGTCAGCAATGTGCTGCCGCAGTGTGATTACTGGGGGGTACACTCACTCCTTCCTGGAGGCCATTACGCCACTCTCTGGGTCCAGTCCTAGTCTCTGTGACTCTAGGGCCTGCTGTCCAAAGTCTGCTGAATGTGTGCATACGGCACATGCATATGCGTGCTATTCCGGGAAGCCAGGGATCTAGTATGGGATAGGGGTCGGGAGATACCAGCACACAGGAGCGAACTCTTAGGGGATAGGGTTTATGCCCAACAGAAAGCCCTACAAGCCCTACAAGCCCCTGGAGGCAGACCTAAAGGTTATTCAACTGGCCTGCCACGGAGCATCCAAGCAGTCTGGCCAGGATATCCTCCAATAAAAGACACCTGGGAGCCCTGGTCACTGGAGAAACCTGGGATCCCAGTTGGGCAGCCCACCAAAATGGGGACTGTTGTCCCTTTGCAGCTGCCCCCTTAGAAGGATTTGGTGGGGCTGGGCTTCCTCCATGCAAGAGGCTATGTGGTGGCTGAGCTTGGCTCATACCTCCTAATGGTTTCTGGGGTGTGAGATCCTACCACCTTGGAGTCTGAGCACGTGGTTCTTCACTAAGATGCCCACAGTCCCATAAAGTTACAGCTGTAGCCCCTGGGATGACAAAGTGCATACTGGGCCCTCGACAGGCACCCCGCACAGGGAAAGTGCCTGCTTTCAGATGTGTGAAAACTCTGCCTAATTCCAAGCACAAGCATTCAAAAATATGAAAGGTCCCAATGAAACAGAGCTAGAAAACTCTGGACTGTCTTGCAAGGGCAGAAATGAGTAAGTCACTGTATGAGGACAGCCTCCAACAGAGACACATGAGAGCCTGACTGTTGGAGGAGCCCAGGACACAAGTAGTTGGTCCAAACGGGGACTGAAAGTTCCCAGTATCAAAAGGAGCCTCAGAAATATTTTTCAGGGTATAAACTCTTCACACCCTGAGTCCATTCAATTGCCAGAGATCATCCAGAACTTTAGGGGCCTGGGTTGTTCCCTGAAGACCAAGGCTTGCTAACCGGCTGCAGACTGCCCAGGCATAGGAGGTGGCAGCTGAGAGGAGCAAAATGACAGGACAGGCTTGGCTCAGAAAAGGGGGCTATCTGGGATCCTTGCATCTGCCTCATTCTAACCTTATGCTCATAGTTCCCTAGAAGGCAGAGTTGGAGAAAATGGCCTGCCCGCTGGGCTGGGGCTAGAGCCTGAACCCGAGGCCCCACCAAGCAGTAAGATGCCCCTGGCACTGCTGCGTGGTGAAGAAGCCAGCAACCCTATCAGGCAGCCAGTCCTGTCAGGCAGCCAGTCCCAAGTTGGACTGGGTGCCTTCAGTTTCCAGCTGCTGCCTCAGAAGACCTTTTGGGGCTGGGATCCCTTTGCCCACAAGGATCAGCAGGTAACTGCACAGGCAGGAGCTCCACAGGCCTGGAGGGGCCGCAGTGCACATGGACAAGCTGCCCAAGTCAGGGCAGTCAGAGCCGGGAGGAGGGCAAGTGTCTGGAAAAGCAGCCAGAGAATGGGCTGTCCCAGCTACAAGGCATGTGCATAAATCCCATGCGCAACCTACTCCAGCATGCACAGTCGCCCTGAAGGGAAAGCTGGAGGGTGTCGGATGCCAGGTGGCCACCTGGGGTGGTGCTCAACAGACATACCTGGAGGCCTCATTACTGGTAAGCTCACGCCCTCTGGCAGCTGGTCTGAAAGGGGACTGACTGCTGTCCAAAGAAAGCAGCGCCCTGAAAGAGGTTTGCTGGGGCTGGTGGGCTCCTATAGGACTGGAGGCTTGGCAGGTACAATGGGACCAACCAGAACTCCCCAGGCCTGGAGGGCCCCAGGTGCAGGCTACCTGGAAGCAGATTGCACCTGGGCCACCTGAGGAAGTTAGAGGAGAAGGGACCTGTATCAAGGCCAGTGTCTGGTGACACCAGGTCACTGGTGCACGCTCTTGGCGGCTGGGAGGCACGTCTCATGCTTATGTCAAGCACCAGTCTTTACAAATGCGCAGGTTCCTTTTGGGGGCAGAGATGGAGGAATCTGGACTTTATCACCAGGGCAGGGACTATGTATAAAAGTCCAAATGGGAAACAATCCAAATACCAACGACAGAATGGGGAAATGAATATGGTATAGTCACACAGTGGACACTAAACCACAGTATAAAGGAACAACGTACACACTATGGATGAAACAAAGATCATGTTAATGAAAGAGAAAAACACAAAAGGAATATATTCTGTAAGATTCCATTTACACAAAGAACAAAAATGGGCAAAACTAAGCAGTACTGACTGAAGTTAGGATGGGGTTCTCCTTGAGAGGAGGAGTTACAGGAGGCGGTAAGGGGTGGACCCTCTGGTGGGCTCCAAGTGTTCTGTGTTTTCAGAGTAAACGGATGTGTTCACTTCGGGAAAATTCATCAAGCTACACACTTATGCACACTCTTCGTTAAAAAGAAAACAATTTTTAAAGGCTCCATCCCACCTCCCACCCCAACCTTTTGTACTTCCTACCTTCAGGAGTCAAGATGCTTTTGACCTTTTGCAGGAAAGGCTGGTCCACAAAAGCTGGTGGTGGGCAACTCATTCCCAGTGTTGGGTCTTGCTGTCGACATCCAACTTGATGACACTGTAGTGGCCGAGCTGGGAAAGAGAAGCAAACAAGTCTTTGTCTAACACCATCTACGTTCCTGCACCATACGTGTTCCTGTGACCTGTGGTGGCCGCAGAGGGCTACGTCAGGATGACACAGAGGTCGTGGCTTGTCTGTAAGGGCACTGATGTCACTGTTCAGGGGAGCTGCTGTCACTCAGGGTTCTGCTGTAAGCACCCCATGTGACAGCCAGGGCTCTGACCTGATCTTTTCCTCCACATTTAAAAGCCCCTTCCATAAGCACACAGATTCATGGGCTCCACGCTAGCATCAATGCTACTTGGTTAAGAGTCCATCTAAACCAGTAATTTTCAGTCCCAGCAGAACATTAGGGTCACCTCGGAATATTCGAAATACTTCAGTATTTCAGGGTCAAAAACCCTGCTGTGGGAAGGAACAGGTGGGAGGAGAGACAGGAAGCCTCAGGTATTTTTTTTTCTTAAACTCCCGGGTAATTCTAAATATAAGAACTATTGATGTAGGCAAGGAGCTGCCTAAGCCTTTAAGGGCTGACCCAGCAAATGGCTGTAGGAGAAAATATTCTCAATTAAAGTTAGTGTACCTTTTCTAGTACTTGAACAATAGCTGGCTGTTCTGTACAGAAAAATATTTTTATGATTTGTCTCCCATACCGACCACCTGGACCTGCAGGTACCCAGGCAGACTAAGGAATGTTGTTTGTGAGACCAGTGCTGTGTGAATAACCTCGGGAGTCTAATTGTTTAAAATGTAATACCCGGCCTCTGGGTCAGAGCTGGCCCTTCTGTTCTAGATGCCGAGAGCTACAAATCTTGTCTCACATCCGCTCCTGCTCCAGGCTGGGCTGGTCCCCAGGAATGGAATCGGGGAGAGGAGGCAGACGCGCGCGGGCCAAGCTCTTTGAAAATAAAGGATCATGATAACATGGAAATGTAGCTCGTGCCAAACTGCATGTAGGTGAACAAATGTTTAACTTCAAACCCTGTCATTTGCCTATAAATGTGGCCGTTATGGGGATGGTCAGGTACAAGCCTCACCTGAAGGGTGGACGCTCCCCCCAAGCCTCTAAGTCAGGACTCCAGCCTGGCTGTTTCCCATGGGGCTTCCCCAGCTGATCAGGTTAGATGTTGTAAATACCTGACTTGACTGTCTACTATTATTTTCATCTATGTGCAGATTACTCTTCTATTCCTGTAATAAACAATAAAGTTCTCTTTCCTTTTCAAAACTGAATCACGGCTGTAGTGAATCTTTTGTGCAGAACACTGGCTCAAGAAAAAAGATCTTGCTAACTGGGTGAGAAAGAACAGATGATGTGTCAGATGCGCCCCTTGCTCTAATGGAAACAGTTTTTACAGGGGTAACCTGCAATGCTACTGACTTGCAGCGAACTTTGAGACCACGATAATGGTTATTCAGTAATTAATAAATACTGACTTAGGACTACTGCATGCCCATTGGGCATGGCACAGATCTCATTTTGGTTTCTTAGAGAGCAGAACACGGTGGCTCATCAAAGTCCAAGGACAACCACGGCTCACATCTGTAGCACTGAGCCCTCTAACAACCTTGCTTGTTAGAGACGATTGCCAGGCTCTTCAAAACTGATTGACAGGCAAGATTTCCCACGTACTAGCTATGTTGGGCCCGGGGCCCCACACGGACCCCAGCCTCAGAGAGGTAACCTGTAAAGCTCTGATAGACTTAGATATACTTCATAGACAGAAAAGTGAACATTTTTGCTACTGTGTCAGATCCAAACCTATTATTAGTAATAAGGTTATGACTGTTCTACCGATAACATAGATTTTTTTTTAAGTAGAAATTCAAATTGCATCTGGTGCTCAAATAATGCAGTACTGAAAGCCAGAAATTTTTCTCAAGTGCACAGGAATTTCTGGAGTCATGATTTTTAAATATTCCATCTGGTTACATGGGTAGACACATGCAAACATTCAATAAATTGAACAGCTTAAAATCTGTGTACTTCATGTAGCTCACCGAATACATTTTATACTTCAATATTTTAAATAAATTAGTAAAAGAAAAAAGTTAGACACCCACACATGCAATCATTTTGAGATTACAATCCGAGTCTGAGGGAAAAGTTACTGGCCATTTATTAACTTAAAAGAAGACTGGGAAGGAGAAAACTAGGGGTATATGGGGATTTGTTGGTCTGTCATCGCTGTGCTCACAGCACAAGACAGCTGTAATCGTCCACACCCCCTGCCTGTGGAAGGCACCAGCGTCCCCCTCACCTAGGAGCAGCTCCGGGTTTCTGAGCAGGGCAAGGCCGGTGATCATTGCTTTGTGGTGCTCACAGCACAGGTAAGTCTTGTCAACGGGCCGCCCTGGGGCTGCAGGGAGGTCCTCTGGAGTGTCATCAGCCCGCTGCTTCTTCCTGTCCTTCTTCCGTTTCTTCTGGGCTAAATGAGAGACAGAGATGATGAGGTCCTATGCTGAGCGCGCTAGTCCAGGAAAAGCAAGCCATACCAGCAGCACTGTGCTGTAGCGAGACAGATCCGACTCAAGAACCCAACTGCTAAATATACACAATTTTGTGACTTGGTTGACAAGTTGGTTCTCTGAAATCCGCCTGTGGTGGCCATTTTTATGCCACAGAAATTGGCAGAGAGTACACATCAGGGCTTTTTTTAACCCCCTGAAAATACAGTTGTTAAACATTTAACACATACCACGGGAGACCAAAGATCAGAAAAGGGAAAGTCGGGGCGCCTGGGTGGCTCAGTAGGTTAAGCATTGGCCTTTGGCTCAAGTCATGATCCTAGGGTCCTGAGATGGAGTCCCATATCAGTCTCCCTGGTCCTTGGGAGTCTGCTTCTCCATCTACCCACCCTCCCCCCGGCCCCGCCCCTTGCTTGTTCTCTTTCTTTCCTTACTCTTTCTCTCAAATAATTTTTTTTTTTTTTAACTAGAAGGAAAAGTGGCAAAAATATACCCAAAGCCCTGGGAAAACTGAACTGAGGAGTCCTGCCGCCTTGACATTGAGAAATAGAAGACCACTAAAGAAAAAGTTTATTCATAAACCCTTTCAGAGAAGGACTTAAGTCACTAATTACCTCCTCCATGCCAATTACTATACTAGCACTTCTAGTTATGTATTTATATTCTTTAAGATTTTACGTATTTGTCAGAGAGAGAGAGAGCGTGCACACAAGTACTGTGAGCTGCAGGAAGAGGGAGAAGCTGGTTCCCTGCTAAGCAAGGAGCTGGATGCAGGACTTGATCCCAGGACCCTGCGATCATGACCTGAGCCTAAGGCAGATGCTTAACCAAATAGGCCAGCTAAGCGTCCCTCTAGTTATTTAACTGTTATGACAACCTTACAATACCATGCTGGGCAGATGAAAAACTAAGGATCTGAAGGGTTAATGATGAGGCCCAGAAATAGGAGGAGGTGCAGCCAGGATGTGACCCTGGGACGGCCTGTTCCAACACCTACTACCTTTTACTGTACGACATTGACGGTAACACACACTCCCTGGAGGAGGAGGAAGTCACAAGCGCTAACCCAAGGGGAGAAATCCTATGAAGGCCCCACTGCTTGCCGTCTGATACATAGTAACCAGATGTTCATCTTTTACTCTATACATTGATTACTGAACTGAATACACTGAGAAATGGACTGAGCCAACCACGGGCCTTTATTCCGGTATGTCCTAAAGCCAAA